TCAAGCCATAGCTTTGTTTAAATGTAAACAGTAAATGAGACTACTGGAGTTTCTTTATGGCACCGTGATGACAGGCGTACATCCTTTCTATATCAGTGTTGCAAAAAGGAATGATGATACACAGAAATAAGATTTACTGCTGAGGACAACGTTCTAAACCACCTTTTTCCGGTTAAGGGCTTGCCTTCATTAGAAGATTAGGTAATTCACTGGACTCCTCCTCGTCAGCAAATACATGATTTTGCAGATGGGAGCTAGTTGTGTTTGGCATTGCATCAGCTTCTAGTAGGACAATCCAGATACGAATACCATGACTTCATTTTTCTTGTTAAGATGAGCCTTTAGTGGCAAATGTTCAATTGTTCTGGGAAGGACACTCATGTAACATCCTGGAACAAAATTGCATTTGTAAACTTAATTCCATCATCTCCATGAAGCCAAAGTACATCTTCTGACTTTTAAAATCAAGATATTTCCTCAGGACCAAAGCTTCCAATGTCTCGCCATTGCCTTTGCTGGGTTTTGAATTGGGCCTATAAGATTCCTCTTTAAAAACTTTTTGTATTACACTTGATGCACCATTGACATTTATGTACCATGGCCTAGCACAGGATTTGGCCTGCTATATTCTTGCAATTCTGACTAGTATGAGTTTAAGTTTACACAGTATTAAGAAAGTTGTGAATGGATTTTTGAATGGATTTTTAAAAAAGCTGTAGATGTATGGCTTTTCTTCTACTTGAGACCAGGCTTTCTTAGGGTGAATTTTTTATTGGACCAACTCTATTGTCAGGATAGAGTTAGACAAGCTTTCGAATGCAAGACATTCTTCTTTTAGGTTTCTTCTACATCTCCTTATACTTTTCACAAATGACTTAAGTTCCTCTGTACCAGGGATTTTTCTCGTCCAGATGATTTCCTTTATCAGCACTGTACTCTGAGGTTGTCAGTCAGGGTGCCAACTTGTGTCAGCTGCAGTGGTTGACACCCATGAGTTGTCTGCAGGCACTGGAATGGAATCCATTTCACGTGAGCCACTAACAAGCTATCAGGGTGTAAGTATTTTTAGTTATACAATTTCCAATCAGATTAAAGGTGGTGACCAAAAAGCTCTGCAATTCATTTTCTTTTTTTCTGAATTATCCAGAATCCACATGAAAATGTGGTTATTCTTGAGATGTACGTTGTTTAATCAATTGCTTACACATTGTCAGGAAAAGTTTGTTAAGCTCATGATGCAGTTAAGGACATTTGTTTAACAAAAGATAGCACTTTAAATATGCTATCTCCAAATCCTTTTTCCCTACACTATTGCTGCAAATCCAGTGATGCAGATGAAAGAAATACTCTACTTCATTCTGCATTCTGCACATGCTCATCTCATAACTTACTCATTTCTAAGGATAACAATTAGCACTTTACATTTTCAAATCTGGGACTACTAACTTTTAGGCATGAGCTGCCTTGAGAAATGTACTCCTCTGAGTGCTTGATTTCCTCCTCTGTTCCATCTTTTTATTTAAGGATTTATACTGTATTATATAGGAGTCAGCCACACTGGCAGAAAGTACTGCATATGGAGACTTTCCCCCTTCTGCTCACGTTTGTTGCAAACATTCCTTTTCAGAAGCTTCTATCAAGTGTCGGGCCGTATTCTTTGAAGGGGGTCGTATGGTGTTTCCTCAGTGTAGTTTTTCTTTATTTTCAGTTCTTGTTCTGTCTCTCATAATGGAAAATCTGTAACAGGTGGTCACAAGCCCACTAGACTTGTATGCTTTTGTGCATAAGGGAACATATGCTGGATGATGGTATGTACAGGGTTGGTAACTTGTAGGAATAGGCAATCCACTGTGGGCATAAAATTAGGAATTGGCCTAAAATGTCACTGAATACTTGATTCAAGTCCAAGCTAAACTAAACATTTTGAAAAGTTCAAATAAGTTTGGTTGCCTTCCATGCCACTGCACAGCAAGCTGATTGCAGTTGGAAGGCGGATTAGCAATATATGGAAGGAATGTTCAGGCATTTTCACCAAACACTAGGGGTGAAATCCTGCGCTCATTAAAGTCAATTGGTATTTTGCTACTGGCTTTAATATGGCTAGAATTTCATTCTATGAGAACAGGTTTTTCTCGGTTCTGGATAGGCTATTCAAGAAAGTACTAGAAATGTGAAAGAACTGATAGTTTCACAAGATTTTGGCTGGAAAATACTCTTGGCTGGAAAAACTGACTTATAATGGTATTTTGCTAGTATATAAAGCTATACCAGCGAAGTGAGTCCAGCCATGTCCATTTGATTCAAGATCAACGTTTGTATGCTCACTCAACATTCTGAATGCTGAACCAGCCTGGACTTTCAGAAGGGTCAGTGTTACTGAGGGTTTGCTACTGACTTTCTCTTTTTTTTTAAAACAAAGCACAAAAAGGGTCTACAGTCAAGTCTCCTACACTTTCCTCCCTGGAAATGTTTGTGAATAAAAAAAGGTCAACCTTTATTTTATGCAACCTCTATTGTACACATCTACTTATTCAGAGTTTCTTTGGCACATGTACATGCTTGACCTGCTGGCCTAACCATCATACTGGATTATTTCTCCATAATCTAATTTGACCGAAAGCTGCTACAGGAACCAAATGCCCTTATTGGCCTTCGTTCTTCACTATGGCTGCCTATACATGTGCTCATGGGTGGGGGTGGGGCAGCATTTTAATTAGAGCAGTTCCTGGACAGCCACTGTAATTAAAACAACTCATCGTCATGTGTATTAAGCCCCTGCACATTTCAAAATGGCTGTGGGATGCTTTATCTGAAACTCATTCAGTGAAGTTTATATAACATGCCCCAGCGTTCATTTTGAAACATGTGGGGGCTTAATACATGTGACAGTGAGATGACATTGAAGTATTCTAATTAGAACAATTCATAGTTTCATAGTTTCTAGGGTCAGAAGGGACCTTAGCAGATCATCTAGTCCGACCCCCTGCCATGGCAGGAAAGAGTACTAGGGTCAAATGACCCCAGCAAG